CGAGCGCGCGGCGGGTTCGTGCGGGGCTCTGGGTGTGGTGGGTGGGTGGTTGCCAGAGCAGCCCTTCTAGATAGTAATCCCAGGAGGCCGCGGCCCAGGACCGAGCGCTTTTTAAGGTCACGGAAAACTTCCTTGGGGACGGAAGTCAGAATAACAGAAACACTTTGAGGAACAAATCCAGGAGTCGCTCAGCCTGGTTGCGGTTTAAGTGCTTGTGTTTGGGTCAGCAGACACGGTTGCAAAAACCAACTTCTGTCGGTAAAGCGTACAGTCACTGTCCCTCTGCATTTGGACAGGTCCCCTTGTGCTATATGGTGTGAATGGAGTGGTCTCTTGTGTATTTCTGGGTGGAACAGGGATCCAAGGATTTGGGAAGTAATTCTGCCCTCCAGGCTCCAGTGGTGGTCGGGAAATAGCTGTTAACCTCTGTTCCCAAAGATGTCCTGAGAGGAGCTTGTGGTTATCTGCAGAAGCCCTGCAAATCTCCCCCAAAGTCACTGGCTTACAACACCGCTAGCATTTTCTTGTGATTTCTCACAGTTCCGAGTGCGGGTTGAGCCCAGCAAGGTGGTCATTTCTCATGGTATCTCAGGCAGGGGCTCAGCCACAGGCACACTGTTCCAAAGCCATCAGCCAAAAGACCAACCAGCAGCCCTTCCATGTGCCAAACCTTCCTCCTAAAATAGGAGGCCTTCCTGGACAAGGCTATTTCACACTCGATTTTGTATTGTAAGTGTCTAATACATGGACCTCCAGAAATATTTGCTGAATTAATGATGAAGAGATTGACCTTGGAGATTTAGAGGAGCTCTTCAATTTCACAACCGAACATCTGTGAGGTAAAGCAAACAGAGGTGTAAATTCTTCAGGCCCCCTGGCAGGTGGCAGAGCTGGGGCTAGATATTTGTGTCTGCAGACTCAAAGATTAGTGTGCTTTCTGCTTCTCTACATTACCTCTCCTTTACAAGAGGACTTCAGAAAGTTTGTAGAGGGGGCCAGCAGGTGGCATGGTGGATAAGTTATTGGATTCCTACATGGTTGACCACGGTTCCAGTCCCTGACCTGGTGGCTTGAAACTCATGCCAGGCACATGTACGTACATGCCCAGAATTCTGAGAGAAGAATGGAGAAGGGATTGTGGTGTAGACATTAGCCCAGGGCTGATTTCTCACTTTGTCTCTCTCCAGTAAGCGCATGTGCCCTATGGCAAATACCTAAAAAAGATTTTTTTAAGTGGAAAAATAGGAATAAGGTACAAATGTATTTTGGTACAAAACATTTTTGAAATCCATACATAATTTTTTCATAATGTACATTGTCCATAAACTTTGTGAAGACCCCTCATATATACCACCCAGAGCAAGGTCTTCACTCTTGTCTGTCGTTTCAAATCATGATTGCAACAGCTTGGACTTAAATTCGTGCAGAAATGAACAGGTGTGCAAGATGCTATTGTTACATAGACAACTGGACAAAACTGAAAGTTTTGCAGCAGACTGTGCATTAAGAGGGAAACAGGTTCTAAAACTACTTGGTTCTCCATAAACTTGGAATTGTGATTTTTTTCTTCCCCACAATCAGTGATCATTTGGCTGAGTCTGAACTTAAAAACAAAACAAAACAGGGAACCAGCAGTTAGCATAATGGCTATGTCGCTGGATTCCCACGTAGTCGACCGCGGTTCGCGTCCCGGACCCGGTGGCTTAAAACTCACGCTGGGCGCGTGTGCGTGCGTGCCCAAGATCCCGAGAGGAGAATGGAGGAGAAGGGATTGCGGCGTGACCATCCCCCCTGGGGGGGTGATTTCTCGCTTTCTGTCTCTATGTCTCTCTCTGTCTGTCTGGCGAGCGCACGCGCCCTACAGTGAAAATCTCTCCAAAAAAAAATAAAAAATAAAAAATAAAAATAAAAACAAAACAAAACAACCAAACAAAAAACTATGAGCTTATCTTTGGCAGTTTTAATTGAGCTATTTTTATGATTCAGTAGAATTCATGAATTCTATTTGTGCAGTTTGATGAAATGTGACAAATATATAAAACCATCTAACCACTACCACAATCATAGAACAGACATTTGTAAGCTTTCCAGAAAGTTCCCTTGTGGTCCTTTGCAATCTCTTTCCCCTACCTGGAGCCTGGCTGATCTACCACTATGCATTTGCCTTTTCTGGAATATTATATAAAGAGAATCATAGAGCATGTAGTATTTTGTGTCTGGCTTCCTGAATTCAGCACAACCAGATAATGAACAAATCTGTCTGCTCCCTTATGGGCAGGCTTGTAAGGCTGTATACCTTTGTGAAAACAGATCTGATCACCAACAGAGTTATGTTATGGGAACACTCAGTCAATAGTTTTGGGGGGCCATGAGTTTATCTGACATTATTAGATACAGTCTGCCAGTTAGGCTATCCATTTTGATGTTATTCAAAGATTTGAAGATAGAATGAGGAAACTTGCTCAATTCCTAAATGAAATGACATGCAGATCTGCCAAGATCAACATCACAGGCAGGATCTTCACACGATGAGGGATGGCTTGACCTCATGAATCTGCAAATTCTTATTTCTCAAGGTTCATCTTCCTTTTGGGGCTCTTACCAGTCTTTACTGAAGCACTAGGCTCTGCTTCTCACTTGCTTTGTGACTTTAGCCAGGCTACTGGAGTTGTCTGTGCCTTGTTTCTCTTCTCTGTGAAACTGGCATGCTCAGAGGGTTGTAGAGACAGAGAGACCTCCCTATGGGGTGTAGCAACACTGCAATCCTTTATCCTCATTCCTCCCACCCACATGCAGGATTCTAGGCACGTGCGTGCGCACACACACATGGTCCTGACATGTTTCTCAAGCTGCCAATTGGGACTCAAACCTTAGGCAGCCACGTGATATCTGGCTTTGAGTGCACAGCACTTAACCACTGTGCTACAGGGCCAGCCTGTCAACAGATAATTTTGCAGTAAGTTTAAATGTAGCCTGCCTCTCGTATTTAAGTCTTCTTCCTTAGAGAAACTAATTTTCTAAGCTCTCTCTAGCCTTTTTCTTTACAGTAGTATCCATCCTTGCACGTAAAATTCCTAGTACCACTTTTCTCTGTAGGCCTATTGGAGGCAACACTTTTCCCATGACCTGAAGCAATAGGTTGAGAATCTCTGACCACTCACTTGGGCCTAGCCCACATCCGGAACATGACCTCAAAAATAAGTCAGGTTGCAGGTGAGTTTCCACTGGAAACACCTGGCTGCTGATTCTCAGGCAGTCATTCATTCTCATTGCCCATGACAGGTCTAGTGCCGGAACTCAGAGAAAAGGGAGGACACAGATCCAGAACCAGCTGCACAGAGGCAGGCAGGAGGGCCATGATCCAGGGCATGACATACAGCGCTGTGGAGCCTGCAATGGGAACTGCCTGCACAAAGACACCCAGGTTCTTGCTGCATGTGGCAGGTTCTTTCAGGGCAGGAAGTTGAATCTTACCAAGGTCTGTGCTGTGCATTGTCAGTGAGTCTCCTTTGACCTGAGAAAGGACTTTGCTCCTGACTGGGGTCTGGTTGTTTCATTTGAGGTGGGAATGTTTCCATTCAAGGCTTTTCATAGAGTAGATACTTGAAAATCAAATGAAAGGTTTGAGATATTTAGTCTTCTCCCCCGTTTTCCTAGTACATGATGTGGTCTCAGCCAGTCTGCTACTTTCCCTTTCCTTCACTTCCAGGAACTTAACAATATTTTTTTCAAAACTAGAAGGACTGAAGAATCTTGGGGCTGGCAGGTAGCATGGTAGTTGGGATGCTGGATTCTCACATGAGTAGCCATGGTTCGAGTCCCGGACCTGACAGTTCATATTCTCACTTTCCCTTTCTCTCTCTCTGTCTTTCTCTGGTCAAATTAAAAATAATAACAATAATAAATTAAATAATTCTTAGAAAAAAAAGAATCTCTTCATCGTGGCCACTTGGGGCTAAATTGACTAAAGTTTTATCGTGTATGTTCTAGTATTTTCTCACTCATTTGTTCTCTCTAGATAAAGACACTGAACTAAAATATCAGGAACAAATTTTTCAGGTCATGTTCTAGGCTCTTAAATTGGGGTTTTGCAAATTCAGTGCTACTGACATTTTGGTTATGATGATTCTTTGTCATGAAAAGTAATAACTCTGTATTTGAGTTGTTGCAATCAAAAATGTCCTGAGACATTGCTGGGAGAGAGATGAAATCAGTTGACATTTCTTTGCTTGCAGAGATTTTGCCCCTAAGCAGTGAATTGCTCTAACCTTGTGATAATGCTAAAAAAAGGACACTGGGTGTGGAGTTTTGAAAGGCTGGGGAGGAGGGAGGTGGATAAGAGGAAATAAAGTCTTTGAATTGAGGAAGAGAATAGAACTTGTATAACATGGAGTTTTCTTTTCTGACTGTTCATATTTTTCTTTTTCTTTTTCTTTCTTTCTTTTTTTTCTTTTTCTTTTTTTTTTTTGGAGAGTTTTTTTGCTATAGGGCACATGTGCTTGCCAGACAGACGAAGAGAGACAGAGAGACAGAAAGCGAGAAATCACCCCCCAGGAGGGATGGCCACGCCGCAATCCCTTCTCCTCCTTTCTCCTCTCAGGATCTTGGCATGCACACACACGCGCCCAGCGTAAGTTTAAGCTGCCGGGTCCGGAACTCGAACCACGGTCGACTACATGGAAGTCCAGCAACATAGCCATTATGCTAACTGCTGGTCTCCATGTTTTTCTTTTTTAAAAGAATTATTTTATTCCATTTTATTTATTATTATCATTTTCATAACCAATTAAAACTTATTTGATTCACAGTTCTGG